GTGGATAGAGCGTTGGCCTGCGGACTGAAGGGTCCCGGGTTCGATTCCGGTCAAGGGCATGTACCTGGGTTGTGGGCACATCCCCAGTAGGAGATGTGCAGGAGGCGGCTGATCGATGTTTCTCTCTCATCAATGTTTCTAACTCTCTATCTCTCTCCCTTCCTCTCTGTAAAAAATCAATTAAAAAAAATAAAAAAATAAAAAATAAAAAAATAAAAAGGGCCTGGCCGTGAGGTCAAGAGTTGGCTACATCCCTAGCTGGATTGGCTCAGTGGATAGAGCATCGACCTGTGGACTGAGGGTCCTGGGTTCGATTCCGGTCAAGGGCACATGCCTGGATTGCAGGCTTGATCCCCAGTAGGGGGCGTGCAGGAGACGGCCGATCAATGATTCTCATCGTTGATGTTTCTACCTCTCTCTTTCCCTCTCCCTTCCTCTCTGAAATTAAAAAAAAAAAAAAAAAAGAGTTGGTAACGTTTACTGGGCAAAGGGAACCAGGGGCGGGAACTCTCTCAGTGGGTCTCAGGGTTGGACGACCCATTCAGAGCCCCGGTCTGTGGTTTGCCCCTGCTCCTGCCGCAGCGGATGGACCCCGCAAGGCGGGCGGCACTCACCTGCTTCTCCAGCATCCTCAGCAGCAGGCGGAAGCGCTCGTCCTCCCGCAACCCCGGGGGCAGCTCCTTCTCCCCGTGGCTCCGGGCTTGTTCGAGCTGCTCCTTGAGCTCCCTCAGCACCGAGATCTCCTGCGTCAGCTGGCTGTGCCAGGTCCGGGTGGCCTGCAGGTCTAACTCCAGGTCCAGCGAGGTGCGCATCAGGCGCTCGTGGCGCAGGGATTTGAAAGATGAAGGCTGTGGGGGTGGGAATGGCTTTGACTACTTGGTCATCCTTCAAAAATGCCCCCACGCCCTCAGCCCGGTTTCTCCCACTCTACAGCCCATGTTTAGTGAGCATGGTTATGTCCTGTGGGGAAGCACGGGACTTGGTGTGAAAGTCTGTAAGGAGGATTCTCTGAAAGGTCGGGGGTCTCTGAGGGGACCTTGCCGAAGGCAGCAGCCCCTTCCTTGACTTTTCTAAACAAGTCCGAGCCCCGGGGTGTTTTACTGGAATCTCTATGTTTAGTCTGCAAACCCAACCTTGTGGAAGCATGTGCTCTCTCAAGGATACTCACCCTGCTGACTGTATCTAGAGATCAATCTTAGTTCAAGCTGTTGTTACAATAAGAACCTAACGAGGCAGACAATCAGGGCTGTTTCAGTTGCTAAAGCGCAACAGTCCCTTAGCCTTCTCGTTCACAGAAATGTGTGTCAGAGTCATCTGTTCCTCCGCCGCTCAGGGTCTGCTGGTCAGCCCGAGCAACGTCCCAGGCTCGGTCCTGGGCACTTGACTCCATGACCCCAGTTCGTTTGCGCAAACCCTATGAGGTCCCTCCCGATGGTTACCCCTGCACAGACGAGCTCCCAGAGGCTGGCACACATTGTGAGTAGCAGAGCGGAGATTCCACCCCAGGCAGTGGGCTCCAGACCCCATCCCTCACTCCCCACACGGTGCCTGGCTCCCTGCTCTCTGTGTCCTCCACATTCCCAGTCTCAGTCAGAGCCTGCTTTTCTGTCTCCTGCCCTCAAGTTGCTTCCTCAGTGCAAGTCTGTCCCCCTTCTTGACTTGGTGTTCCCGCAATGGACATCCATTGTTTCTGCGTGTGCAGCATCTACGCCCCCAGTCTCACAGGTAACCCATCATCTTCCCTTGGGGACCCACGCCTCCTCCATGCCCAACCCACATGGTTCCTGTGGGGCTTCAGGGATAGGAACGTGACCTGAACCTGGCAAAGCAGAACCACAGTGATTGCTTCCGGGGTGAGTATGTTCTCTCAGCCCAGACAATAAAACTAAACTCTGGGACCTTTGCAAGTGACTTGGGAAAAAGGCAATGTCTTTACACAGAGATTCTCAAGCCAGCAAGTATAAACCTAGAACTGATCACAGTCATCTTCACCATCACATGGAGTGACCCTGATTAAGAATTCAGCTAAAAAAAAGATGAAGAAAAAAAAGAGTCATAATAAGCTATGTGGAGGGAGCAATGCCGTGACGGGGGGGACTGAGGTTTGATGACATTCTTTCAACCCCTGCATCAATCCATGTCCGAGACTAGTCCAACATCCTGGAGTTTCCATGAAATGAGCCAATAAATTGCCCTTTTCATTTTTAAGCTACATTTGAGTTCTTCAGTTATCTGTATGCATAAGATCCCGAGTAATACTAGTATAATCATTAACTCTTCTCTCAAAACCCAGTAATGATTTAAAAAGAATGGTTAAGTGACTGTGGGAGACTGAATTCTAAGCTGGCCCCCAAGATCCCCACCCCCTCACAGACACGCCCAATATAATGCCTGCCCCTTCAGTGTGGGTGGGACCTGTGAAGATAATGGATATCATTCCTGTGGTTAGGTAACTAATCAGTTGACTTTAATCATGCTGGGTGGGCCTGACCTAACTAGGTGAGCTCCTCAATGATGAACTGCCCTTCCTGGAGCTCGGCTAGCCGTAAAGAAGCAATATATGTATGGAGAGGGCCACATGGCAAGGACTGAACATCACCTCTGTGCGTTGTGAATAGCTCCAGACCTGCAGCTATCGAGAAAATGCAAGGTTATGCATCCTGCCAGCACCCCGAGGGGGCAGGGATGTGACCCTTGCCCTAGTCAAAATTCCAGATGAGCCAGCACCCAGATTTCAGCCTGGGGAGACCCTGAGCAGAGGGTCCAGCTGGCTTGTGCTGAACTCCTGCCCTCTGGGAACTATGAGAGAGTGTATTGTTATCAGCTCTTAATTTGTGGTAATTTGTTATGCAGCAACAGGAAACAAATACAATGGCCAATAAAAGGATTTGCGAGATGGTACGGAAACGGCTAGGGTGAGCCCTACCCTCACTTACACTTGCACAAGCACACTTTCAGGAACACCAAACAGCTCGGGGTAGAAGTTTTCTAAGGCTCATCCAGGGGGGACCACAGTCCAGTCTGTGCTCATAAATGAGCAGGGCCAGGAAATCCACTGCGGAAATCTGTGGCCCAAGTTCCCCAAGCAAGACATGAAGATTCTTCTGCTTGGCTCTGACTGATGTCCAGGCTCAGAACCTTGCCGGAAGCAGGCAGAGGCACAGCTCAGGTAGCGAGTGGGAGGATGGCAGCAACCCAGGCTCGGGCCCAGCCTCTGGACTCTCCTGTCCCTTGGGCATAGTTAGAGGACCCGAGGGAAATGAGGGCTCAGACCACCGTCAAGGGCTCCCTTAGCAAGCCAGGCCCTTGGCTGAGCGGAAGAGGAGGTCAAGAAGGGGGGACTCTGTGGGGCCCGCCTTGGAAGGGAGTTTGGGGGCACACAACGGCATTTTTCCGTCCAGAACGCTGAGGAGCCTGTTGAAAACGCTGTTTCCTGGTGCCGAATTATACTGTCTAGGTGTGTGGCCTTGGAATCTGCATCATCGACAAGCTCCCCAGGAGACCCTGTGGAACCCGCCAGAAGATGGGAGGGGGTGAGGGGCTGAGCGGGCAGCAGGCCGTCCCTGTCACCCCAGGGAGGCCATGCCCAGCTTCTCCCTCAGCCAGCACTCTCTCCCCTTCCTGTGCACCCTCCTCTGCACGGCCTTCTCCTGCTCACTCTCATTCTCTCTGGAGATTCACGGGAGGGGAGGGGATTGCCGGAGGACCAGCTCCTGACTCTGGCCTCAGTGGATCTGCAGGGGACGCAGAGGAGCCTTCCCTGCATGTGCTTTCACTCTGCTCTCTCTCCTGCTCCCCCTACTTCTCTTTCTGATACTCTGGCAGCCACGTTTCTCTTAGTTCTGCAAACTCAGTGCAACTGCTGCAAAGTCTGAGCTACAAGCATCTCCTGCAGCCCTGGCGGGTGAAAGTCCGGAACAGGAGTCAGTCCTGGTCCTAATGCCACCTGACCCCGGTCCCTCAGCCACGCCTCCATAAGGAAAGGCGAGATTTCTCTACAGCGACTGTTGTGGCCTCTGCCCTGCGTGCTTCCAGCTGGACCGAGAGAAGCCCGCTCACACCCCTGCCTCCGGTCGGTGCTGGGGATGCCCGGCTTCTCTGCCAGCTGGGAGGGCTGTCAGAACCCTGACCCGCTCACAGCCAGCTGGATGCACGGACACACTGAGCGGTCTCCCGTGAGGCAGGCTCCATTGGTGACCCTGGTATCTTCGGCGATTTCCAGCCAGGAAGGCCCCTTCTACCTAGCCTATTCCTCAGGATAATAATGTTACCTTCCCCCTACGGCACGTTCCCCAGGGCCTACTCAGGCCTTATAGTTCGTAAACTTCCATTTGCAAAAACCACCACCGTTACAAGAGTGACTTGTTCACACCAGAGGCCGCGGAGCAACGGTCAGACACCCGGGCATGTGCTTGGGGAAGCGAGGGTGGAGGGCTCACAAGGGGCTCAGAGGAGTCCGCCTTACCCGCTTCATGCGGACGCTGCGCCGCTCCAGAGAGTTTCGAACAAAAGGTGGCTTCTTGGACAGCGTGGAGCTGTCGCTGTCACTCCGATTCAGCTGCAAGAAAGAGCCATGGAAGTCAGTGAAGGTCCGAGGACATTCGGAAGGCACGTGGGGCCAGGAGGGTGGTGATGCCCCCCCACCCAGCCCGGCCCTTTCTCTCTGGTGCAAACACTCAGAGTTCTGTTCCTTGAGCCTGCAGGAGGCAGCTTCATTTGGCCTCTCTTTCCTTTCCAGGTGAACGTTCATCGAGCATGTACTCAGCACAATGCATGCTGCAACCTGCTATACTCGCCATAGCTCATTTAATCCTTCCAACAACCCCAGGGGATTGACAGTGGTTCCATTTGAGCCATAAAGATGGGCTCTGTAGGCGACAGGGAAGATTCACACTGCATGGGGTCAACCCTATTGTACTGCTGCCAACTCGCCAGGGATACTGACACGGTGAGAGTAGCCGGGATTTGCACCCAGAACTGTGAGGCGAAGGCTACCCCACAGGAAGCCGGCGCTGTGGGAGGGGCAAGGGCCACATGTTTGCTTACCCGGCACACGTATTGGCTCTGGGGTCCAGGGGAGAAGGTCTTGGAGCGGATGATGGTGCTTCCTCGAAGGAATGGCGCTGGGGATGGCGTGCCCACCCGCCGGTCCTTGGGCCGCACCACTGTGGGCGACGGGGAAGGGGTCTCTGTGTTGGTCTCTTTGTCCACCTGAGGAAGACGTCACAGCTTTGAGACCACGGAGTTTTAGCCACCGGCCCTGAGACGCTCCCCACACTTGTCACTTCGCCTCTGTCCCACGGACACAGCTGGGAGCTTCTTGGGCGCCCACCCTGCCCAGCCAGGACAGCACCCCAGGCCCGAGGCCGGCCCCTATTCCTCCAGGACACCTGTGGCTGGGGCTGGTGGGAGCCTATTCAGCCCCCAAACAAGCTCCTGTGACAGCAGAGGTACCTGAAGCTCCATGGCCTGAATGTCACCCCCCTAAAGCCACACACATTTTGTCAAAGCCACACCAAGGCCTCCGCTGCCCCAGCCAAGAGCTGCTGATGTTTTATTGGAATTATGGAGGCAACCAGCAAATCTCCTTACTTAAACCAGGGGACCAGGTTTTCTTTTCTTTATAAAATATGTTTTTATTGATTTTTAGAGAGAGAGATAGAAATATTGATGAAAGAGAAACTTCATTGATCGGCTGCCTCCTGCACGCCCCTACTAAGGATGGAGCCTGCAACCCAGGCATGTGCCCTGACTGGGAATCCAACTGGTGACCTCTTGATTCCTGGGTTGATGCTCAACCACTGAGCCTCACTGGCCAGGCTAGGGGACCAGGCTTTCTATCGTCCTTTCACGGTAGTCACCGGTAAAAGGTAAGCAAACCAAAACCACGGAAAGGCAGGGCCTCCGTTAGCCTTAACAGCACCTTTGTGTAATTTTGAAAAAGGAGCCCCCTTTGCCTGGAGAAACTTCAAAATGCTTTCCCCTTGGTGTGGGTTAAAAGGCAGCCCCGGATGCTTCTGGGCACCTCTGTGCCATGCACCACCTTCAGCTCCACCCCCGGGTGCCCTGCCAGCACAACGGGAGCTCTATGTCCAGGAGCCCTGCAGGTGGAAGAACAGAGACCTCTGGAGAGCAAGTGCTGTTGTCACACGTAACCCGAGAGCAGCAGGGAAGCCGGAGGCAAGGGACTGACCCTCGGACTCTCTTCTCCTCCTGCACTTGGACCCAAATGGAGAAACACATTCCTTCAAAACCCTAGAACCTGTCTTCGAGGGGAGTATTACTGTGTCCAGTTCAGAGACAATGAAATGAAGGCTCGAGAGGGATGAAGTCGTCTGCCCAGGATTCCACAGCTGGGCGGGTAGCAGAGCCCGCATCTGAACCCAGACCCATCTGACTGCAAAGTTTGGGGTCTGTCCAGAGAAACGGGGGGCGGGGGAAGGCAGACGACAGGAGGGAAGAGGGGGCGCGTCAGCCTCTCCGGGTTCACTGTTAAGGAAACAAGCCAGATTACAGGCAGGGACACTGCCGTACGCCCTCTGCTGGTCACTCCATGGGGGGGCGGTGTCCCTGATGCTGGAGGACAGCATGTGACCCTGAACCTTTTGTGATTGCCTGGGCTCAAGGCTAGTTCTCTAGTTCCCCCAAGTGAGCCCTTCTCATCGCCCAGCCCTCCCTACCTTTACCGCCGGGCACTCTTCCGGATCTGGTGAGGATTTCTCAGCAAAAACCTCCTCCTCTCCCTCCTCCGCTGCGGTCTCGTTGTCACTGGTCTCCTCCTCGAACCTCCTGTGATGACAAAGAACTTTGGTTACTCCCCCAGAGACCACTCTGACCTGCTCACTGGCCTTTAAATCCTTTCAGGAGAGAGAACACATTTTTGGGTGGAAGGGAGGAAATTGATTTTAGTGCATAGTGAGACGAGTCTGGGCCAATGTAATTCCCCTGCATCATCATTACCAGCATCTAAACCACTCCACCCCAAAAGGCTCCCTTATCCCCTTTCTCAGTTAACTTCCCCCCAAGCCCAGCCCAGCACTGATCAGCTTCCTGTCACTACTGATGAAATCTCTGCTCTTGTCTCTAGCCTCATCCGGTGACTGTATCAATTCACTCTTCTTTATGGCCGAGGAACAGTCCATGGTATGGATATGCCACCATTTGTTTAGCTACTGGAAGTGAAGAACATCTGGATCGTTTCTATTTCTTAGCAATTGTAAATAAAGCTTTTACAGACAATCACGTGGATATAGGTTTCCTTTCCGTTTCTCTCGAATATTGTTAGTTTGCCAGAGCTGCCCTAACAATACCATCCACCGGCGTGGCTTAAAATAACAGAAATTTGCCCTAGCCATTTTGGCTCAGTGGATAGAGCGTCGGCCTGCGGACTAGAGGGTCCCAGGTTCGATCCTGGCCAAGGGCACATGCCCGGGTTGCAGGCTTGATCCCCCCAGCAGGGGGCATGCAGGAGGCAGCCAATCAATGATTCTCTCTCATCATTGAGGTTTCTATCTATCTCTCGCCCCTCCTCTCTGAAATGAATAAAATATATATACATATATATACATACATACATATACATACTAGAGGCACAAAAATTTGTGCACTCGGGGGGAGGGGGTGTTCCTCAGCCCGGCCTGTGCCCTCTCGCAGTCTGGGACCCCTCAGGAGATAACGACCTGCTGGCTTAGGCCTGCTCCCGGGTGGCAGAGGAGGCCCAATC